TTTGGAAGATCTTCAGAATTACGTAGATCCTCTGTATTTTCAGAATTCTCAGAATTCGCAGGATTCTCAGTATTCTCGGAATTCTGGATTAAAAGATCGTCATACCGCGTCATCCACGTGACTTCATTATGACTGGTCAATTGCTCCGTTGACACCATGCTTATCTGACATGTATAGGAAAAAATTCATAGTGTAATCGACAGCTGAATAATGGAAAATCATTTTACCAAGAAAATCAACTAGCATTTTAGTAATCAGCATACATGTGGTTCGGTGTATGGTGTGCTTTAATTTAAGAACCTCTTTCTTGGTTAGTAAATAAAATAGAAAAAAAAAGATAATTGAACATATTCAATGAAACATCCGGTCCGATATCGGATTGTCATTCTTTAAAATGAATGCTGTCATATGGTTAAAAAAGACCGTACTTTAAGCCAAACTTGATAAAGTTTAGGAAATTTCCTATTGATTATCTTGAATAACCAAAATTTTTAATTTCGTATGATTCTGAATTACGTTTATCAATGGATAAAAAAAATACTTTCAGAAACTTAATTCCCCTGAAATGATCCGCTCATCTTTCTTCTTTAGCTTGTATTCACAATCCATTTTTTTCTCATTCAATCTAACAACGTGATTATTCCAAATTTCTTATATAAATAAGAAAGAAAAGTGCTTATTAAAAATTATTAAAATTATTTTAAAAAACACATTAAACTTACTATGCGACGTCCTATTTCTTTCACTTTTATTATCATTGTAACCATCTGTAGCTTAATGAATATCATAGCTTTGATGCCAGCCACTGAAGGTAAAAAGCTCTGAAATATTTATTAGTTTCTAAATACAGTGATTTAATTTATTTAATAATATATATAGCATATGAGGTTCTACTTAGGAATTGGGGTGGTGATGATAAAGGTAATTATATCTGATTTTATTGAGCTAAATTCCATGAGTGATTTGATATCATGTATATTTTTTGATTTTAATTTAATTTTATTTATGTACAGCGTATTGTTGTGTTTGGGAGGAGGATGCTCAACACAAATTCATAACTTTTATACCTCCAAATATTCCAAATAAACCGTCATATTATTATTGTTCCGGTTGTGCGACCTTTAATGGTATGGAACGATTTCGTGCGGATTTAAGAAATGGTATTCTTACTTATCAAACGTTAGATAATACTACAACATACTGGGTTAATTTTGGCACCGATTATGCTTGGTCAGTTTTAGGTGGTTATAACAAAGATACCTGTTTCCACGTATATGGTACAGAACACAAAGCAGAACTTAATGAAGCACCTTACGAAGAATGTGAAAAAATCAGAGATTCATAATAAGACCGCATATCTTTACAAAAACAATGCATCAATCATTGGTCTTGTATAATTTACTTTGCAGAAACTAATTATATCATGAAAAAAAATACTCTTCAATATCAATATTTATTAATAATATGTATCCTGGGCTACGTCCCAAACATTGTATTTATTTAGTTAATAATCCTCTATTCTATCTAAATTAATCTAGCGTGCAATGTGCATTCAAATAATTACTCATAATTTCTACTTCCTGATATTTAATAAAGAAATGTTTTACCTTTATTAGATTCTTGTCTTGAGCAAATTTCAGCCGGGGTGCCCCGGTCAAAAAACACATTTTTTTATTTGAATGCTTATATACATTGTATTAGTTATATATAGATCATGTCATCCGAGCTTGAATTATTGAAACAGCGTATTACTGAACTTGAAGCTAAGAATGACAAGCTTGAGGCTGAGAATGACGCAGGGCAATAGCTCTACTAGTAAATATTTCGAGTACATAAAACTTTATGCTATGCTCACTGGTAAAGATTTGGATGATGTAGACATTAAAGTAAAATTCATCAGTGGATTATCATCCGATAATAAAAAGCGCACAGAAGAGTTTGGGTTTAAAAAACCTTTAAAGAGATAGTCAAATATTTAGTTAGAGATCCAACACTTTCTACCGAAATACAGAAATACAAAGTGGGGGAGCCGAAACAAGGTAATGAATCGGTAAGGCCGTAAGGGTATTTTATCAAAAATTAGAAAGGCTTAGAAAGCTTTCCGGATGTGATAAGGAAGATCTTAGAAAAAAATTATTTTGCGGAATTATACGAATTTTTAATATTCTATACTTTATTATTATTCTTATTATGTTTTATATTTTTATTATTCTACGTATATTTATTTTTCTTAGTATATTTATTTTACTTATATTTTATCTTACTAAATT